TATTCGCCTGGTATTTTTTAGGGTTATTAGTGGGTAATAAATACTAATAATATTGACTAAACAAGGAAAAATAAGCTTAAAGTGAAAAATAAAACTTTGCGGGAATTTTTTTTAGGCCGCCATAATGAGTTTTTTAAGATGGCATCCATTACTTATCTAAACATTTGTATAATATTTTTTCATGAATATCTTTCTAAAATATAATAAGAAAAGTTTTAGTTATTAAAAAATGATTAAAACTAAATGATTTTTAAAAGATTTTATAAAATTTTGTAGGTTTTAAGTTTTGTTGAATTTTTACCCAAGCAATAATTTTTCTTAAATCCGTAAAATATTTAGAGGGCATATAATTTTTAAGACGTATCGTACCTATTTTTATCAATAAAATAATGTGCGTTTGAGTTTTAATGCAAAATATCAATGGTTTAGACAATTTAAGTTATATTTTTTAATTTTACTCCAGGGTGGCCTTTATTAATTTGTAATTACTTAAGTTCCTACCATTTTGTAAAATATAAATTAAAAGAACAAAGAAATTACGAATATCAATGTTTAAGAAAGAGAAAGCAAACAGTTAGTAATTATAGCGTTATTTTTACGTAAATTTGTGGTATTTATATTGTTTTTATTACGTAATTCTCTTAGTAGATCAAAAAGGTTATTATGTGGGTAAAATAACGAAATAAACCATTCCCCAAATTTGGTAATTTTTCGTATCTATACCGTTATAAAACCGTTTTGGTTAACCGTAAAAAATACTTTAAAGTTGACTAAGTAGTAAATTTGTAGTTATTTAAACTTAAAATGCTGCTTGGGATAATTGTTCCCCACTTTAGTCGCAAAACAATCTAAAGTTTCTTCAATAGTCCCATTTAAGTATTTGTTACGTATACGTAACAAATACTTAAATTGTTGCTTGGGTAATATAATAAATTAAATTAGGCAACCAAATTAGCCTTAAGTTCCGACTGATCAGTGGCGTACTTTTTGGTAGGATAAATTATTTTTAGAAAAAAAAAGTTTCAGGTATTTCTTTATATATGGACCCAAAGAAACTACCCATTTTAATATATTACATTAATAACTAGAATTTACAAATTTTTGTGGCTTAATAGCGTTTTTAAAAAAAGATTTTTTCCCAGAGTAGACTCTGTTTCGGACGACTATGGTCATGATTATGGCCCTGCACTAAACTTAAAACTAAATGTAAAACAACGAGACCTTTTTTACAGATTAAAATATAAAAAGGTTAACAAAAACTGTTTTTGTATATATTTTTGTGTTCCAGTGTAATTTTATATACCTTTTATATCTTAAAATATACGTTGTGGTTTTATCTTTATCCTAATCTATCATAAAATAGACAGACTAAAAACAAACGCCTTATTTACAGCCAAAAAATTGCATTGAAAATTTTCACACTAGATGACAAATGGTTGTTGATAACATCATCAATTAAAAATGAAAAATGTGTATGTTTGAAGTCAATTTAAAAAGAAATTCCGGTTGACCTTCTAGGACTAAGATGTTAATTAATAACACTAGTTTACAAAATCGAAAAAAAATTCTGCCCACCATATCCCATTATAATTTTCACATGTATTTTAACCCACTGCGTTATTCAAATATGAATTTTCAATTGTTTTTTTTCAATTTTCGGAGGTTTTTTGACGTTTTTGAGTATAACTTGAATCTAATTAAATTGAAGGTATTTGAGACCTCTAAAACTTTAATAACTTAAAAAATTCGTTTTTGTGGCAAAAATTGAGGTCGAAAATTTACATATCGTCCTGGGAAAGGTTTCAATCAAACAGATAACTCCAGTTTAAATTTTTTTCGTGAAGCTGACATTTAAAAAAAAAACAAGCTTATGTTGATAAAAATACATGGAAAAATGGCGAAGTTATGAATTTTTTAGTGGAAGACCAAAATTCAGCTTTTTGACGATTTTTATTTTTTTTTTTCTTTTATATTGTAATATGTTTAGTCTTCAATGAAAACCTAAATAAAGTGCATGATTGGAATTTTTTGAGTTTTTAACGTACTTTTTTCACCGAAAATATTATTCAAAATATAAATTTGACATGACTCCGCAAACGTGAATTCTTTTGTTTCTCGTGTTGGCATAGGGACATTTTACTGATATTTTTTGATATTTCAACCAGGTATTTTTATCATGGTTTTATTTAGTTAACAAAAAGTGTAAAATGAGTAAAAGAAGTAGAGAGTTCGAGTGCGTAAATAACCCGCACAATCTGGGCGACGTAAGTGATGAGCACGGAGAACGTTTTCACCAGCAAATGAAGGCTATGGAGCGGCGGTATCAAGGCTTCTGGGATGCAGTCATGATGGGTGATTACATTTGGTCCCTCATACGAGAAACGGAATACGAAAGCAACAAAAAACAAAGAAGGAGCCAGATTTTTTTAAACCTATGCTTATTACAATAAAATAAAACTTTTAATAATAATAATAATAATAATCTTTATTTTCCCAAATTGACAAACAGTATTTGTATAGGATTCCTATAATAGGAATGGTCGGTAAATAGCACAATAAAAGACTTAAAACTAACTTAGGGCTAAACTAGAATAAAATAAAATACATAGGTACAACTTAAAAAAACATAAATGTAATTCAGATTACTGGTTTAAAAATTCAGATACGTCATATAAACACAGAGATAATAAGTACTGCTTTAATTTATTTTTAAAAATATGTATACATATTAGGGTGTGTCATTTTTAGGTGACATTTTTTTTTTCGCTGTTATACCAGAAAATCTAATACTTTATAGAAAATAAAAAATTATGCCGCCGGGTAAAAGGTTCTAAGTGCAATAGCGGCTTAGCTCATTTAAAAATTCAATTTCCCATTGAAATAACACAGAAAATTTTTTTTGTTCGTTTTAATTAGATTTTTCGCTGTTAAAAACTTTTTTCCCTAAAAACTTTTTTATAGCTTTTGTAGGAAATTAAATTCTCTACAAAATCATCCCTTTGCTCGAAGAAAAATAAAATGGAATTTGAGGTCTATTTTTATAAAAGTTTATATTTCCAGCGCTATAACTCTGAAACTACTAGTTATACGGTCTTCGAGCAAAAGGATGATTTTGTAGAGAATTTAATTTCCTACAAAAGCTATAAAAAAGTTTTTAGGGAAAAAAGTTTTTAACAGCGAAAAATCTAATTAAAACGAACAAAAAAAATTTTCTGTGTTATTTCAATGGGAAATTGAATTTTTAAATGAGCTAAGCCGCTATTGCACTTAGAACCTTTTACCCGGAGGCATAATTTTTTATTTTCTATAAAGTATTAGATTTTCTGGTATAACAGCGAAAAAAAAAATATCGCCTAAAAATGACACACCCTAATACATATATACATATGTATTAGGGTGTTTCAAAAAAATCGACTTTTTCTTTTTCTTCAAATGGTCGGCAAATTCTTTCAGAGGATGTCAACACAAAGACCTCGTCAAAATTTTAGCTTTTAATTTGAAGATTTAGAGGTCGCGGATCGCAATTTTCTATTTCCCATTTAAATAACATGGGAATTTTTTTTTTTAACTTTGAAATTTTATACGTCTGAATCAAATCAACTTATGTCAAGGATCATCTTAGATTTTCATAGTAAATTTAACGCTCTACAAAAAAGGTCTCTTATCATTTTTCTATAAATTGATTCCTTCCAGAGTTATTCAAGGCCAAAGTTTGATTTCCATCGAATTTTCGCGTTTTTTAACATTTATGGTACAATTATCATTATACGGGTGGCCAAACTTAAACAGTGCATTATTCGTATAAAAATAACACTTTTTGTTTAATAAACATGTATCAAAAAATGCTCCCTAAAGGAGCTACGGCCCCCTGAATAGGAGCCTAAGAGGATAATTTTTTTTAAACTATTCCTAGAGGGTTGAACATGAACAAATGAATTTTCGGTAGGTACTTTGGTAATTTTGACATGCTGAATCTAGAACTATGATCAAAACTGTTAAAATTTAATCATAGGCGTAACATTTGGAGGGGGCAAAGTTACAAAAATAGCCCCAACTTTTTTCTGGGTTAATAATTTAATTTTTTTTATGAAATTATGAGAATTTATATTTTTTTACGAAAAATAGGTACCTACTCTTGATTTGAATTGCTCAGATGCACCATTTTCGAGAAAAATGCATTTATAAATAAATTACTTTGCATATTATACACATCTCATATTTTCATTAAAACTTTGTAGTAGGCTTTGGAAAAAAGTGACGTTTTTTTGTTTTTATGTTTTTTTTACAACACTTCATATGTTTCAGATATAAATATGTGATTTTTTTACTACATGATGCTAAAAGTTGAAAAAACGAGAAAATTCGATGGAAATCAAACTTTGGCCTCGAATAACTCTGCAGAGTTCCATGGAAGAAATCAATTTATAGAAAAATTATAAGAGACATTTTTTATAGAGCGTTAAATTTACTATAAAAATCTAAGATGTTCCTTGCCATAAGTTGATTCGATATAGACGTATAAAATTCCAAAGTTAAAAAAAAAATTTCCTATGTTATTTAAATGGGAAATAGAAAATTGCGATCCGCGACCTCTAAATCTTCAAATTAAAAGCTCAAATTTTAACGAGGTCTTTGTTTTGACATCCTCTGAAAGAATTTGCTGACCATTTGAAGAAAAAGAAAAAGTCGATTTTTTTGAAACACCCTAATATGTATACATATATACATATATGTTTTTAGATTCCTGTATAGAATTTGGCAATTTATTAAATGTTTTTAAACCTAGGTAATCTGGCGAGTTAAATTTTATATCCCGTTTTGTTAAGGGAACATAAAAAATTTTGTTATTTCTTGTATTAAAATTATGTACATTGCTGACTAGATTAAGTTTTGATTTATTTTTATAAACAAAAACAGACAACTCAAAACATACTCATGTTCAATATTTATGGTTTAATATGGCTGTAAACTAGTGTAATTAATAGACATATTCTCCACAGGGCAATGTTACTTAAGATTGGGAGAAACTGCTAAAGCAAAGGATTACGCAGAAAAGGCCGTTCAACTCGGAAAGCAAGAAGTTTCGTACGCATTGCTAATAAAAATTTTAATATTGGAGGGCGATTTTAAAACAGCTGTAGCCACATCTAACGCCGCCGTTGAGTAAGTACATATTAATATTTTCATACCAAAATGCCGCAATGTATAAAACCAAGGCAAATTGAAGGTTGTTAAAGTATCAAATAAAAGCGAGAATGTGTCTTCTTCTAAATCGCATTCTTTTTACTATGTCGTAAAATTTTATTTCAAAAATTCAAATAAAACAAGTGCAAATAGTTTTCCTTACTATTCTCTAATAAAAAGTTTTTATTTATTTTTGTAATTTAAAAAAAACTGTATTTTTAATTACCAACCCAATACTATTTACAAACACAATAGAAGAAAGGTAATTAATATTAATTAAAGCACGTTCTACACAGTACAAAGTTTTTTACCGGTTGTATTGTTTTGAGTTTTCATTTACAAGCATGCTAATATAATTTATTCATACAACTAACATTTGTTTTCATTAGGAACTTTTGATATTTAAATATAACAATTTATTCAATAAATGGCTGGTTATATTCAAAGTTTTATTAATTTACTAAAAGCTTTGTTTGTTGACATGGTATTTAACGTATTCTTGTTTGTTATGTTTTTATTTTATATTAAATTGTTTTAATAATTGTATTGTAAATGCATTGTATTTTACATTTATAAAATATAAAATAGAGGGTGTCCAGAAAATTGCTTAAGTATAAAATTATCGTATATGACCCTTAAGGGTTTTAAAACTGAAACTTAATAGTATATTATGTATCAAGTCTGATAAACGCCATTTAAGACACGAATTTAATTTAGGCACGAGAGAGCTTGCGAGCGAGTGCTTAAATTAATGAGTGTCTAAAAAAGTTTATAAACAAGGTACATACTATACTTTTTCTACGACAAATACTTATTATTATCTTAAAATGATTTAAATCAAAAATTTGTATAGAGCGCCATCTATGAAACAATAGGGGAATCTGTGTGTCACCGTCAAATGTCAAATTTTTACATTTTATAAACATAATTATAAAGGTTATAAATCGAAATGTATTTCTTGAAAATTGACAGTTTTTCACAGTGAAATTAAAGAAAATGTTTTATGAGCACTTTACAGTGGAGTCCGTGCCCGAATTTAAGTTATAGTTTACTGCCGGCGAAATTAAAAGGTCAGTACAATGTTCATATAAACTTTTCAAATATTGGCTTTCAGAAACTATTTAATACTTTTGTATTTTTGTATTGAGATAATAAAATAATTTTCACATTTAGCATTATTTTACAAGAAAGGCACTTTATTTTAACGATTGTATGACATTTGACAACTGTCAACTAACTTAAAACTAACTTCAGCCCGTGACTAAAAACCTGTTGCTAACTTCAGCCCGTGACTAAAGCGCCATAAAGCCACAACTTGTCAATGTGTATTTAAAAGGTCACAAGTTGGGAGTAGAAAAAGTTCTTAAAGGCCACTTATTTTTATGCAAAAAAATGAATGTACTCTTGGTTTTATACAAAGTTTTATTGTATAGTTTTAAAGCGACCTTGTAGACCGCAATAGGAGCATTAGTGTTATTTGGGGATTTCATTTTGTCTAGACCTCATGTTTTACTTTCATAATCATCTATTAAATGACAATTCTTCTTCACGTCTCCCATAAATTATAATTGAAATTAAATTCTTATTGCTTAAACGAGATTTTCTTTTTTATTTTGTTCGTCTTCGCCGTTTCAAAAAACGTTTACGGATTTGTATCTGACATAATTCGTTTTATCAAGCTTAATGATAATTGAATCAATTTAAGTTTTTTAAAGTTGTTAATGTACATACCTACATTTGAAGAAATAATAATACCCATTGACTAAATTGCCTCTATCTATAACTTCGACATGAACGAATTCTTTTATGTTTACCTCGTAAAAATATATAAAAATAAAGTACCGATTAACTTTTTAATAGTGGGTTCTTAATCATAAATAAGTAGGTCGATGGAATTGTCTATTTATTTTATTTTAAAAATTTAATATACGCTAAAGAAGTATCGCTAGTAGCGCCACCACTCGGCCGTTATCATCGCTTGTGTTACAACACGATTTGTTGTGTTGTTGGGTGTATTTAGAGAGGAAATCCTGGGTTGAGTTTTTACCAGTTTTCCAATAAACAGTGTTAATCTAAATAAAGAAATAAATTGCATACAGTCTCTGTAAACATAAATTGTATTTATTAGATACAATAAATACACATTTTAGTAATGATTAAAGTGAAAAGTGTAAACATTTCAATTCAGTAATAATCGTCTAAATTTAAACAGCATTTAGCATTATTAAAAGCGTTAATTAAGAAAGTCTCCACTCAACGGTAAAATACCATTATATTATGTAATATATATACCATTATATTATGTTGCCATGAATTCGTAGGTATATTTTGTTGTTTAAAATGCAGTTTTCGGCGTTTTTTAGAGAACTCAAATATATAAATGATTAATTTTAAGGTTATGTTTGTGCAAAAATTATTTTTTACTAATTTCTTAAAAATGTCCAAACTTAAATATAAATTATATTAGGTAAAGTTATCATTAGTTAATTCTGCACAACAAATGTACTTACCGAATTGGATCCTTTGGCAAAACATGAAAATGCAACGATTTAGTTCTTGAATTTTATTTACAATTAAAAACACAATAATTCACCATGATCCCTTGGATAAAATACACACGCTAACGTAACTATATAAGCATTTAAGCGTTGAGTTTCTTAAACAATGATATAAAGAATAATCAATCGAAATCGAGTATACTAAACCAGTTTTTTAGATTTTCCTTGCAACGTAAAACACAAATAACGTGCGGGATTTAGCTGTGCAATTGAACAAAATTTGTCGAGTAAGACTTTCTTTTGTGAAAAAACTACCTATTTATTTAAAAATGATGCACAGTTCGTAAACTTTAAATGTATTGTTGACCATTCTTAAATTCACGCAATGCTTTTGAAGTCCACCAGATGGCGCGCGCGTTGCTAAAACCAGATTCTTCTTTAGCGTTTACCTCTGTGTTTAGCAAAGGAAACACCACTGACATTTCGGCCCTGTAATCAGGTCCGGACTAAAGCATTTTTTAAATAATTATTGGGATAACAGGACCGGCTTCGAATATTTTATAATATTAAAAATTTAAAAACCGCAACCTAAAAACATCGCCTAAAATTAAGTATAACCTGGTTATTCCCTAAAAAACTTTATTTTTTTTTCATTAAATTAAATTGGACCAATGGTTTAATTTTCTTTTGTTAGAAAGTTTTATCAAAAATATGTGGTCAATTATGTATAGAGCATTTCTGAAAGTTTTGCAGTTTATTATATTTTATGACGCTATTGTATGAATGTTACATATAAAGTAAATTTTAAAGTGCTTTTAACTTAATTTTATCTTTGCAGGAGAATAGGAGAATTGCTTTTATTTGCTATATTTTCCACTGTATGAAATTACTATTTTGCAATGGTTTAACCCGTGAAGATATTTTTCTGCTCCTTTTACGGAATATGACCGTTTTAACATCACTTTTTAATGTGGAATTACATTTATTCCTTATGTTATGTTAGTATTCTATTTATTTATTATTATTACAAGCAGAATTCACATTGATATTGAAATTAAAGGAAAACGCTAACGGTTTATTCGAATTTGAAGTCATTGTAAAATTCGTTGGTTCATTGGAACCAGACGCTCCCATATCGGTACAGCTGCTGATAGCGCTGGAAGACGCCGACGCATTAAAACCTTGTATTTGCAATTTGTATTTTGTTGCACCGATTCTTCTAGGTATCCTTCTGCTACCGTCGAGGACTTCCATCCTCCGACGCTTCAAAGTAGTCATGTTAGCCCCTGCATTGGCCAAGAGTCGCCGAAGACCTTCTCAGGCAGAGACCGGTGTAGAGCGCTGGTTCCTCCAATTTCAAAAAGATTGTAATTCTTGAATGTATCTTCGACAACGTATTTATTCCCACACACTGGCTGGTACACCTCCCATTTTTGAAAAAAACAAAAAAGCAACTAGAACTAGTATTCTTTGGTCTCAAAGACATGTATTTTTTACTCAAATTGATCGGGTTGACTGGAAATCCTTCTTCAAGTATGGTGAAACTTCTCAATTTCTTGGTTTTAGTGTCTGTCAAAAGTACGTGAAAATATTTCCCTTTGTCTTAATTTCTATTTTAAAATTAACCAATTCATCGCATCTACAAGCACCGCTAATCCCCTTTATCAAAGCCACTTTCATCAACAGGTACTCGTCGTCGGGAGCTTCGTTTAAAAACTTCTCTATTTCAGGTCGTTCTAATGTCTTGGGACTTCTTTGGTTTGTATCCCTGTGATTTGCTTTTCAAAAAGCTCGTTTGTTTGTCATATTTTGAAATGTCGATTTTTTTTATAAAGGTGAATAGTCGAGCGAAGCATCGAGTATTTGGTCCATAGCGATGATGGGGCTAATTTTTTTGCAAATGTAAAAAATAAGCCAATAGAACACTTTCATCGATACCTTTTATCTTCCGTGAATTCATCCAAGACTCAAACATTTTGAACTCCTTGTCGTAAACATCTCGGGACTTTTCTTGCAAAATCTGCATCGCTGCTTCTTCCGCTTCCTCAAGGAACGTAATTTTCATCAGTTTCCTCCATTTTCTGTACGTTTTTTTCTTCAAAAAAGCTTCCCTTTTCTGGGAAAACTGACAAGTGTCAAAATTTACTTAAATATTTGCTAACAATCATAGAGTGCTAACAATGTATCATGCCCGTGGCAACCAAACAAACAACCTACTTTGACCAAAATGTAAAAAGTCACTCTCAAGTCATTTTGACATTAATAGGGTACTGAGACGCAAGTAGCTTTGATTTGATCACAAAGCTTATTAATTATTATCTAATAAAAACTTGTTGGATAAAACATTGTATGCCACTCGTGTGTTATGTTTCCTAAGTCACAAATAACTATTATAGACATACTTTTTAGAAATCCTATAAACGTTTTTCTTTGAAAGCAAAGTGATTTTAAAATTTAGATGGAGTTTAAAAACGACATTATTTCAGATAGAAATAAAAGTATGTGAAAAGATGTGTATTTATTTCAAACTATAAAATCCTGATAGTTTTTTATTCTAAAATTCCATTTTTCCACACGTGCCTGAAAATAAATTATTTTACCTTTTGTTCCCTAAGGGTATCCGATGAACAAGTCCTGAAACGAAATGAGATTTTTACAGAGTTTTTGTATTTTTGTATCTCTTTTTACGTTTTATGCATCTATCTGCTGTAATAAAAGCAATTTTGACTTTTCAATACCTTTTTAAATTAAAGCCAGTCTATTTTAAAACGATATATATATTTTTTTGTAGATCGTGTCCCGACAGCGTCAAAATGCTCACGAAATCCGGACTTTTATATTTGAAAACAGGGCACATGCAAAATGCATTTGAACAGTTAAGTTCTGCCTTAGCTTTGGATCCCACTTGTTCAAAAGCTTTATTGGGTATCGGATACATAACCCAGGTTAGTACATAAATAAATAGTATATTATGTATAAAGTTTGATAAACGCCATTTTATACTCGAATTTAATTTAGGCACGAGCGAGCTTGCGAGCGAGTTCTTAAATTAATGAGTGTATAGAAAAGTTTATAAACGAGGTGCATACTATACTTTTTCTACGACAAATACTTATTATTATCTTAAAATAATTTAAATCAAAAATTTGTATAGAGCGCCATCTATGAAACAACAGGGGAAACTGTCAAATGTCACATTTTTACATTTTATAAACACAATTATAAAGGTTATAAATCGAAATGTATATTGAAAATTGACAGTTTTTCACAGTGAAAGTAAAGGAAATGTTTTATGAGGACTTTACAGTAGAGTCCGTGCCCGAATTTAAGTTATAGTTTACTGCCGGCGAAATTAAAAGGTCAGTACAATGTTCATATAAACTTTTCAAATATTGGCGTTGGGCAACTATTTAATATTTTTGTATTTTTGTATTGAGATAATAAAATAATTTTCACATTTACCATTATTTTACAAGAAAGGCACTTTATTTTAACGATTGTATGACATTTGACAACTGTCAACTAACTTAAAACTAACTTCAGCCCGTGACTAAAAACCTGTTGCTAACTTCAGCCCGTGACTAAAGCGCCGTAAAGCCACAACTTGTCAATGTGTATTTAAAAGGTCACTTAGTGTCTTGGAAACATGTACGAAAAAGGGCATTTTAAAGGTGGGAGTAGAAAAAATATATTTTGTTTTGTTAAGTTTTTTTTGACTTAAGACCCCGCATTATCTACACTGAAAGAACAGTTTATTTACAATTAATGATGTTGTTTAACAATAAATAAAGGATTTATTCGATAATGGCGGAATAAATATTTATTTTTTAAAAACAAATAATTTATTAGTATTACTTTAATATTTTTTTGGTGCTAAATAAATATTTATTTATTATAAACAAATACTTTATCTGTGAGAAATAAAATTGCATTAAAAACAATCAAACCCTTATTTATTATAAATATGCCATTTTAATAAGTAGTTAATAATTTATTAAAAATTAACAAACAGATATTTTTAAAAAACAAATTGTTATTTAAAGTGACAAACATCTTATTTATTATAAATAAACTAAACTGATTATAAATAACCCGGGAAGTAATTATTAACATTAATATATTTAATTTTAATTTTGAGTTATTTATAAAAAATTAGTTTATTTATAATTAACAAATTTTATTATTAATAATTGATAATTAGCATATAACTGTAATTTTAGAAAATATGTTTATATTTGCAATAAATATGGCATATCCTTGTCAATCTTACAAAGGTACGTATTTTCTTTATAATTTTACAAGAGAGCATATACCTATATGTAGGTATTTAAACTTACTGCAGGTTAAAAATATACTATAGTATAAAATAAACTTATAAAATTATTATGGTTTATATCTGTAATTTTATATGTTAATCAAAGTATATTGTTAAACCGAATATTGCAGTAATTTTCAAAATGCTCTTCTGTAAAATTATAAAAATGGGATTGTGAGATTGACGACTATAGGAATTCTAAATTTATTGTAAATATATATATGTATACATATTTAATATTTAATACAAATACAGTTCTGTCTTAATTATTTACTATTAATCATAAAATTTGTTAACCTGAATATTACAAAAATCTTCTCCAGTAAAATTATAAAAAATCTCTAAAATTATAATTTACTTTGTGAGGTTGACGACGATATGTTGATATAAATATAAAATGTGCTTCAGTATAGGTGATTTTTAAAATAAAATACTTGTTTTTTTAAGATGATTTTATTAAGAAATATACTTACCTATATATTTATATATTTTATAAAATCCAATATTTTGAAACTTGTAGATTATATTCATAGACCTATTATTTAAAAAACATAAATAAACTTAAACAAATAAAGATATAGTATATAATAATAATAATATAACCAAAAGCGAAATCTGCAAATACTTTAAAAGAATCTACTCCATTATCTGAAAAAAATTGTTAATAATAAATATAACCTGATTTTCTTTAATGTCATCTGATTAATAATTAACAAGGGAATTTATAGTAAATATACTTTATTTATTTATTAAGTATTAATGCATCCCATGGGATAGTCAACACGTGGAAACATCTGCAAACAAACTGCGACAAAATTCAGCCAATACTTAACGAAATAACAAGGCATCAATTATTTTTTTTTAATAACTCATAAACTTACCTTTAAAAGTATTAGCCAGATCTTCTAAACCGTATAACAGTTTAGAATCTATTATGTCCATGTCAGCATCCATGTTTAAGGACCTATTTTTGTTTTGTTAGCATTCAACACCATAGAACAATATTATTATAATAATATATGTACTTACACAATCACTGCAACAGTTTAATCGCAATACAAATTTCTCTATTATATGAAAAATGATGCAAAAGCACAAACAGAGCACAAACCACCACCACCTTTATCAGCAAAGATGTAAACCACCCACTACGTGACATTTTAAAGTGAAGTGAATCGTCCGAGGTAAAACGACGCGTTACGATATTCCATTTGTTAATTATTAATATATCATATTTCTTACAAACAAATGATTTAATAGTTAGAAAATGTGACTTATATATAATAATCATTATTTACGAAATGAGAATTTGGCAACTATTAATAAACAATATTTATTATTAATAAACTGTAAACTAAATACGAATAAAACGTATATTTACAATAAATTAATAAACGATTTTATTTGACTCGAATTTAGTATATCAATAACACATAAATTCAAACCAAATAAATAATTTTTTTATAAAAAATAAATTAAATTTCAGAATATATTGTTAGTAAATAATATTGATTTACAACAAATTTGCTGTATTTATTATAAATAAAAACGTATCAAATAAATATTTATTAATTATTAACCCTAGTATTTATTTCAGTGTAGGAGCAGTAGACACATCTTAAAATGTATAATGGGTTGTATACAATACTCGTATTAAATCGGCAGAAAAGTTCTACTTTACTGCCGATTTATTTTACTTTACTGCCGATTGTTGACTACTTTACTGCCGATTTCGGATAAAAGGATTAAAATATTTAAAAAAATGACAGCGTTCTCAATTTTTTTAGTTTTAACTTTAAAGATAAATGTTTTGTCATCAAACAAAAACGTGGCAATAATTTGAGTTGAAAGGGCATAAAAAACTTATTTTATTGTAGCAGCTCTATTTCATCTTCGGTCCTTTTGCAATAAACCACAAAGAAATTATATCTTTATTGCCAACCCAAAGTTTCTTTGTGAAAGATATACAGGCTTCCCGAAAGCCGCCAAGTTGCCCGTAATAAAATTTATTAGATGCGTTATTTTATTTAATGGGTCAAAATTTATTTAATGAGCAAGTTAAATTAACTCGAGATTGAGGAAAATAATTAGTTTCTAATTATTTACATGCGTTTGTAATTAGTAGAAAGCGGATTGCCCGGTCTAATAAATTTTTAGTAGATCTACACCGAAAGAAATACTAGGGTTGATAATTAATAAATATTTATTTGAGACGTTTTTATTTATAAGAAATACAGCAAATTTGTTGTAAATCAATTTTATTTACTAACAATATATTCTGAAAAAAAATTATTAAATCTATGTTGTTTGTAAGAAATATGATATATTAATAATTAACAAATGGAACTTTAAAATGCCACGTAGTGGGTGGTTTACATCTTTCCTGATAAGGGTGGTGCTGGTTTGTACTCTGTTTGTGCTTTTGCATCATTTTTCATATAATAAGGACATTTGTATTGCGTATAAACTGTTGCAGTGATTAAATAATAATAATAATAATAATATTGCCTTTATTTAGTAAAGAATGGGCGAAGTTTAGCAAAAGCTACTCTTCCACTTAACCCATATTACATGTTTGTAAAAATATCTACAATATTATAGTAAAATAAACAATTTCCTAAAGTAATCTCATATTAAATGTTACAAATTGTATTTGTGCAAAGAATGACAATAAAGAATGTAAATAAATTATATCAATTAAATCTCTAAACTAATAATAATAATGAATGCAAAGCCACTACAAAAAGAAACAAAAAAAAAAAAAAGGTTTTTTGTTTACTCAAACTGAGTACTCAAATATCTTTGTTTCAGATTCTTTCTGCATGAATTTAAATTTAGATCTTTAAGAATATAATCTTTGAGTATATCATAGTTTTCATTATATAACGTAACAGAATTGTATGTAAATGATTTGCAAAACCAGGCAGTTAAATGTTTAGGCATTGTCAATATGTTAACCCGTCGTATATTTACTTCATGTGCATCACATCTAAAAACTAGTTTTTTTCTAAGCGATACAGGAGATGAATTAGCTAGCACCTTAAGCGTTAAAATGATGTGCGAGATTTTCCATTGATTTTCCATATTAACCCAATTTAATTCTTTAAATTTTTCACTTATATGGTCATACTTGCGCAAGCCATAAACAAACCTACAACAACTATTTTGGACCTTTTGTATACGGTTTTTATCTATTTTGTCTAAAAAAGGAAAATATACTGGTAAACAGTAAAGCAAATTAGACAAAACTAAACTTTCACAAAGTTGTTTTCTTAATTTTGGCCCCAAAAAGTCATGACTGGCATATAGTAGCCGTAGTTTAAAATAACTGTTTTGCACAAGCCTGCTTACATGATCTGTAAATTTTAACTTGTTGTCATACAAAACGCCCAGGTTTTTCGCAGTGTTAGAAAAGTTTATTTTAAAGCCATTAAGTTCTATATTAGCATGGTTATATAAATAATCATATTTGTTAGGACTACAGAACATAACAGCTACCGTTTTTTTAGAGTTAAGTTTCAAATTATTTTGTTTTGCATACTCCGATATTAGTTTTAGGTCCAAGTTAATGTTATTTACTGCCCTATCCAGATCGTCAAACAAAAAACTATAATGTAACTGCGTATCGTC